TGACATGCTAAGGTACTATACAAGCTAAATTAAAAAAAAAACACTTGATACTGATTTCGTTCCCCTGATATTCTTGCAATATGTTTGATAGAAAAGTGAGTCTTACTGGCTTTACAGACATTTCTCACATATTTCTCAACAAATTCCCACATTTTGATTTAAATTACATTTTTTGTGTTGGAACTCTATATAGGCCTGAATCTGAAACCTCTCACCTTCACTGGAGATTATTATTTATTTCTTTCTCTGATTAGTTTTATGCCATAAAAGTCACCAATTTTGATTTATGATTATGCATTTATGTTTCAACCTGATTATTATTTTCCAGTATAATACGAAAATAATTATTAAAGCAGTCATTGCTGCTGTGAACATATGGCATTGGGGAGAGAAATATATGTATATACTCTCAGTATTACGATATACACCATAGTGTACGTACATTCAAAACAATTAATATAATCAAAGCAAGACAATATGTAGAATAATTCAAGCCTTTGCAGTGGCAAATCTAAATCAACTTAGGTGCAGAAAAGTATAAAGAAATACAGATGTGGTTTAGTGATCTCTGTCGTGATGTTAATGATAATTTAAAAAAATGGTGGCATCACACCGTAAGCAATTGGATGGCCGAATGTGAACAGCTAAGTTATCGCTGGCCCTGAGGTGTACACACAATACCACGCAAAATTCTGAGGCTGCCAGTGAAAATGATCTTTATGTTGGTGTAAAGCCATGATTACACGTCCGTCAAAGTGCATTAATTAATCCATTTCACCCCAGTATTTTCAGTACCCGTTCAGTATAGCCGTATATTTGGTGACCAGACCACATGCATGTCACGTTTGGCTAATCGATGCCTCATCGAGATATGTAACTAATGAAGTTAATTATTTAAGTCAGCTTGCGGTTAAATTGAACAAATACAGAGGGACTGGCTGGGGTGCCGTTGAGGAGAGATTTGGGAACCAAAGCGGAGTTTATCTAGCTCTCCAACAACACGTTAAAAGCTTTTCGCAGAACAGAAGAAATTCTTGTTCCTTTTATATTGTGTTAGTGCACATTTGCATGTACTGTAACATTGAATTGTGTTTTTATAAGGAAATATATGCTTATTACCCACATAATTAGGTTTAAACATTGTCTTTGACTGACTAAGACTTCTGCACAGTCCTGTATATGTCTAAGTCCTTGACATTTCAAGGCCCATCTGGTGTGACTGCGACTTCTCTCTATTCATGGTGTAAAGGTGGCAACATAGATAAGGCAGAGTAAATTAGGGGCTATTATTATAGGAAAATTCCTCACTAACAGTGGGGTGAAAACTCCCCTCAGAAGAACAATGATCCCAAAAAATGAAAGTGCATTTGAAAAAGAAGTAAATGTCCTTGAGTGGCTCAGTCAGAGTGCCGACTTAAATAATGCTCAGAATCTGTGGCGAAACATCGACTATGCTGTCCACAAGTGATCCCCGAGCAACTTGACAGAACTTCAGCGGATCTGCCAAAACGAGAGGAGTGTAACATTTCCAGCAAAGTAGAGTGCAAGAACGCAAGTTTGTAAAGATTTATCCAAAAGACTTATGGCCATAATTGCTTCTTCCCCAAATGTTACTGGTCCGAATATTTATACTGTGAATAGCGTACGGTAATGATATTAAATTACTTGTCCTTATAAGTCTTCTGTCTGAGCAGGAACTGAAGAACATAGAAAAGGTCTCAGTACTTTTTAATGTGCATGTGGTATATAAACATTATGGTAGTCGCTTCATCCATTACATCATCTGCAATGTTTCATGGATGTGGCAGGGTCAGTGGAAGACCAGTACTGTGATTGGTCGCCTGAACTGAATAGGTAGACCATCCTGCTTCTGCATCTTCCAAGGTCAAATTTAAATCCACGCCAAGGACACACATTTAAAAGGTTTCCGTGTGTGTGTCAATTTAATGGTGTGAATGCTAAAGAATTCAGTAAGGGGAAGGTGTAAAGGCTGCACTCCCTTGCTTCTCTCTCTCTGTCTCTCCCTCTCTCTCGCTCTCCCACTCCATCCCTCCCCGCGTCTCTCCCGACGCCATGTGGGAGACGGCCATCAGGGGCAGCTTATTGCAGCGTTCCAGCTCATTGCTGGTGATTAATTGACCTACACGCATTCACATGATCCTCTTTGACTTTTGGACACAGAGCCCACCTTATTCAGTGTGCGGCGGATAACGACAGCAAGTCGCAGAAATGTCAGAGAGTCTAAAAATCCTGCTCCATTCCACTTTGATCACGTAAAGTTAAATAATAAAACCCGAAACTGGAAAATGGTAACAACAGCAACTGTTATAATGTTGGAATCCAGACGTCAGACAGCTTTTAAAATGCTATAGGTATTGTAACAGTTATTATGACTCTATATTTCATTAATTACATTTGAGCCTGTGTGTGTAGCATGTGTTTCTGATTTTGGGATTGCTTAAATGTTTTCCTTGTTTCTGTGAGGCAGGTTTAAGAGATTAAAACGGTTTGGATTAAACATACCAGGCCGCTAAGTAAGTCTTTATCTAAGACGGAGATGAACAGCCCTCACAAACTGTGCCATCTCCTGATCTTCTAAATAAGATTTTCATTATTATTTGTAATCTCCAGCCTCCGGGAAAGTGAAAACCATCAATTTAGTTACATTTACATGATCTGACCCGCCTCAGAACTGAATACTCAATGAATGCAGGCAAAATGAAAGAACAACTAGAGTTTTCACATACATAAATATACAATGTCGTGGGCCTGGCCAATTAAAAAATAATGAAACTCAGATTGTCTCCCGTTCCCATGTTGAGGAAATATGCATTCTGAGCCTCAGATATGAGAAACATCTGTGCAAACCAGACTCTGGGGAGAGTGGACACTTGATGCCTGAAGAGGAATATATCAGTGGCTTTTCTGCAAAGCGGGTTTCTGACCCCACGTTTCCCCTACACCTCCGTCTGAGGTGGCCAGCTGGGTGTTCCAGTGCTCAGAGGTGGTCGTAGGTACCACTTTAATTTGCCATCAATCTAACGTGAACATACATTTCCCGATATACTGCTGACAGTCCAGCCGCGCATTTGCAGTGGGGCTTGCTGGTTCACTAATAAGACACACTTATACGCAGCAATAATGAAAAATGAGCAATAATAAATATAAAAATCATAATATGTAGAAAAATGCAACATCTAAAAATCGACGATTTCAGATCTGATTTTCTTTACCGTAAGAATTCATACACTTGAAGATAGATATTATAACATTGGCAAGTATAGAATAAATATATCAATTATTCTTTCTGACATTGTCTGATCTTCTGATGTTGACATATTATTTATTGGCGCTTAATAAAGGAAATTGAAATTTAACCCAGCTTATTTCGCTATGGATAATGCACAGTGTTGACCAGATGTGTCTCTGTGACCACAAATATCTAATATGAATACACAGCGAGCCTGGTTTCCCGTTTGTTTAAGTGAAATGGTTCAACTTAATGTGTATACAAATATTCACAAAGCAGTCGAGGTTTCTTAATTTCCTGTGTGGGCCACACACAACTGCAAAGCTGGGATTCGGAGATGGAGAAACTGTGTCAGTGATCAGGCTGCTTTACAGTGAAAATATGTCCGGACAAATAATGTTTGCTTTCACCGAACAAGAGTTACAAAAATACCAAATACTTCCAGGCTAAACACAATATTTGTGAGTTATACGGCCATGATGGCTGTATTCGAAGTGGGGAACAGTTTCTCATAAAGTCTATCGGGGTCACATCCAAGGCACTCTTGGTGGACTGCTGTTCGACTCCAACATTTGTGACACATTAATAATTTTTAATAATATGGTATCCAATTTTTCATTTTTAAATTATTTTTGCATCATCAGGCACACAGTTGGTGGCATGGAAAATTATAATATTCCAAGTTAAGGGAATAAAATAAAAAAATAAAGTTTTATTACATTTATGAAGCACCTTCATTTCATGTCATCATGTCATAATGGATGTGTTTACATTACATTTTGTATTGTTATTATTTCTGTGTTAAGGTGTAATGAGGAAAGACAGTTGGATCTAAAACCCAATATTACATTCTGATATTTGATTTTAGATTTAATGTAAACTCTAATAAAACTTTCCAAAAATTTAAAGGGGAAAAAAGTCCCGCCCCAAATTTTCCTGTGGCTAATCGGTTCTCGGATATCTGTCTGACAAGGGCGGCGGGGGGGGGGGTGCCGTCCTGTGCCCCTGCATACCCATCTCTGTGTTATTGCACTTATTTGTTCACTCAATTAGTCGCCAATCCATCATTGTAGCGGCACTCCTGCTTGACTGAAACTGAAGCCGGCCCTCTTATTAAATTACGAGATGCGAGGGGAATGAAGGGGCCGTGCTGAGAGGCTAGAGGCAGATGGCAGCGAAGGCTGCTGACCTGCGCTACAGCGGCACGGTCGTAGCCTGGGGTCCTGATCCATTCCAGCCGGGGGGGGAGGGGGGAGTGTGAAAACACAGCGCCCATTGTCTGTGCAGGATGCCGAGGGGGGGGGGGGGGGGGGGGGCGGGGGGCACAGGGCAGCCCAGCAGGCCAGGCCGCTAACGGGCCAGCACGTGTGTGGTGTGGAGCAACACAACGCAGCCCCCCCCCCCCCCCCCCCCCCCCCCCCCCCCCCCCCCCCCCCCCC